AAAAAAAAAAAAGTCTTTTGTGTCTGGCTTCCTTCACATGACATTGTGTTTGATGGATTCATCCACACGTGCATGTGATTGTAGATCATTCATTCTTTCTCATATTTCCCTGTGGTATTCCATTGTGTGAATGTTCCACAATTTAGTTATCTGTTCTACTGTTGATGGGCACCTGGGTAGTTTCCCCTTTGGGACTGTTAAGAATAGAGCATCATATTCTATGTTTTTTAAATAAATAAGCATTTTTTAAAATTGCAGTATAATGTAGATACAGAAAAGAGCGTGAATTATAAAGGGTGTAGTTCATGAATTTTCACACGTGAACAACCAACCATGCAGTGCCCAGAGCAAAGAACAATGTCCTCAGCCTCCCAGAAGTTCCCCCATGTCCCATTCCAGTCACTGCCACAAGCAGCACCTGCCACCTCATCTAGCATAGCTCAGTTTTGCCTGTTTTTAAACCTTATACATGAGGGTACATCAAAAAGTTCATGGAAAGATTTGTAATATCTTCTCATTCTATTTTTCCACAAACTTTTTAAAGTACTCTTGTACACAGAATCTGTTTATATGCACAGTAGCTTCTGTTTTCTGTTGCTGTTTTCTGTTGAGCGGCACTTTAAATCCCTGGGAATGAATGTTGCCTAGTCTGGGTAGATGAGGCAGGTTAGAGGGTCTGTTTTCTGATAGGAACGCAGAAGGTTCCAGAAGTGCCAGCTTCTCTTTTGGAGACTTTCCTGGCAGCTGAGCTTGCTGGGCGTGGCACGCTCCTGAGAGCAGAGGCACTGTTCACAGTCTGGTAGATGTGTAGTTGTATCCCATTGTGTTTTAACTTATATTTCCCTGTTGGCTAAAAAGTTAAGCACACTTTTTAAAATATTTATTGGACATTTGGATATGCTTCTTTGGTAAGTTCTGATTCAAGTCTTTTTCCATGTATTAATTAGATTGTCCTTCCTTTCTCTTTTTTGTTAGACTTAATTAAATTATCTGGATGAGTCTTCTATTGGACATAATATAAAAGTATTATAAATATCTTCTTCATTATGTATTGTCTTTAATTCTCATCATGGTAACTTTCAATAAAGAGGAATTCTTAATTTGAATAAAATAAAATTTATTAAATTTTTCTTTTATGGTTATGGCTGTTTGTTCTATTTCTGTCAAATCCTTATTTAATAAATCTTCATCATATCAAGGCCATAAAGATATTCCCTCTCTAGAAAACTGAATATCCACATGCGGAAGATTGAAACTA